AACAGAGGAGGATGATAGTTCAATGAAATTATGTCATGGGGGGGGTGAAGTATGCATTCCTGCAGCATCCGCTTTCAGCCCCAGCTCCTCTGTACACAGTTGTCCTTCTGATTGGAAGACATGGACACTCAGATGTGAATTGGTGCTTCTCTTTACAGCAGGGAGGGTGTCAGACCGCCTCGTTCTCTCAATTGTACCATTACTCCTGTTTGCACTTAATTCTCACGGTTTGGTGGCTTGTATACTCTTCATGTTTAGCATGTCTTATCTCGTGATGAATACTTAATCAAACCTTAAGATACTTTTGATTTTTCACAAGGATATTAAGCAATAATCTCTACCACATTAGCAATCTAGTTGTTGATTATATTGGGCTTTGAGATTTCATTTTCTGTGCCTTCATTTAAAATATGAGTGGGTGCATTTTCCTGGACCGCTGAAGCTGCGCAGGTTTGGATGAGAGCTGTCTGTCAACCTTTGAAAATCCTCAATTATGTATCAGTCACAGATATGGGCCCGAACCCGCACCGCGCTCCGCCTGTTAAATGCTAAATGGTCGGACTCTACGGGGCTTTTTCTCAATTTTCAACCACTCAAAATGCTTCAAGACTACACTCACTCCTTCGCACACTGATGGCAGGAGCTAACGTGCGACCTGCCCCTCAGTAACCAACATTCATACACCGTAGTCACAGCTACGAGGACAATTTGTGTGTTAAGTGTCTCCTCGCCCATGGCCACGTCCACAATCGGAAACAAGCGGACCCGGAGATTGAACCACCGGTTATCTCATTAAAGGCCTCCCCCCGAGTCACACTCGCCCCCTTGGTCACTCATTTAAAGGAGACATATCGTACTTATTTTAAGACTCATACTTGTATTTGGGGTTTCCGCCTTACTTCAGCCAAATTAACCTGTAGTGGAAGTAGAATTTTCATAATATCTCCCTTTAAATACTAAGAGACAGCAGTGGAAAATGCCATTTTGTATGAGGCTGTGGTCAAGTGATTACCCGCTCTTCCTGTTGACCTTTTTGCACTCCTGTTGTCTTCTGTTCGTCCGCAGGAAGAGGCGGTTTTCAGCTTCATATTCTTTGGTTTCAAGGCGCCTGCCCCCGAGGGGAGTTTTGTTGCATATGAGGAGAGTTTCAACTCTGTTTGTCAGTGTGCTCGCTCCACACACTGTGTATGCCTCTTCTCGCCCGACTAACCGTTCAGGTTTCTACGACCTTTATTTCCAACATCTCCCCGGGACTCAAAGAAAAGCGTAGACAGTAATGGAACATTTTCACCATACCAGTTATAAGATTCTCACAGTAACTAAGTAAAGGATCTGAGTATTGTTTACATCACAAAGACTGTGTTATTATTACTTAATTAGTTGAGGACCCTCAGAAGGATCCTGTTGTTACACGCATGCTGCTTGATGTCGTTGCTAATTCTCTCTCTCTTGCCAGACCGCCAATGACTGCTTCATTGAGCATTATGGGAAAAAAAACATCAAAATAGCCTATACATTTTATAAGCTAAAAATGCTTTTTCAAATTTGAAATATCTATCGATATCTTGCATTGTAAAATGCAACCAATACGGCGATGAAGCACAGATCGTTTGAATATTTCACATTTGTAACGATGTAATAATTTAGATTTCACTGACAGTTACGAGGGTCTCCGACCCTCATCAGACATGCATATGGGACTTAAATGTATTGCTGCTGCTGAGGCTTATTCACTCATTCAATACTTGTTGAGGTTTACTAATGTCTTCTAAACCTGCAGTGTGTGATAATGCTGACAGTGCTTGTTTGACGGAGGGGGGGGGGCTGCTTGCTTTTACCTTGAGAAGTTAAGGAGCCAACATGCAGCTCCGCCTGCTGGCTTTTTGATGCTCACTGTGAAAGTTCCTTACCAGTGGGAAACAAATAAGCCGGGGTTGGACTTGTGCTAGAAAGAAATACTGTGCACGGATGTCCTAAAAATGCAACTTTAATGATTAAAGATGTGAAGAAAGACGGCCTCTGAAGAGCAAGTGCGCACACCCACAGCAGCGGCTTGAGTGCATTTGTGTGTATCTGTACCGTGTAACAGCATTTCAATGATGGCTGTGACACAGGCTGATGTCTGCTCAGGGCTCCAGTAATAGAGATATTGTGTCTTCAATGCATTCCCTTATCTCTCCATAAACGGCATGCTGAGTAAATTTTCGGCGATGGACTTTCACATTCAGCATTTTTATAGAAGACATTCAGACAGACAAATGATACAACGTATGCACTCGTGGGGAATTATAGCCAGCCTACAGTAGCTCATAGCACTTTATTATATTATAAATATAATAAAAGGCTGTCTTTAATAGCTGACGTACGTCTGATACAAAATAGGAATAGGGGTTGTTTCTCTGGTCATCGGGATTTTTCCAACATCCTGCCTGAAGCCCTTTTTAACAGGATCGTCAATATGCTGCATGTTTCTCTCACCGGCGTTTTTTTTAAATCAATGCTTTTTCATGAGGCGAGCACAGAGCATCAGAAGCGTTCCTCTGCGTCTCTGCTGCGGGGTGACCTTTCTCATTTAGCCAAATCTCCATTACACTGCACGAACATGCAGGCACACGCGTGTTTACGCGTGCTCCAGTGCACCGAGGACGACATCAGGTGTGTTCTAAACGCGCGGTTATGTGTCAGCGTTGACGGCGAGGGGGCTCATAGTTTGACTACTTTCTGGCTGCTTGCCCAAGATAAGGACCATAAAGAATCGACTGTGGGATCATGAACCTGCATGACACACCTGCAGCTGGGGGAGCGACTCCAAGGATGTTTCACAACCTCCTTCACTCCCACATCTCATCACCGGCAGCGGATGGCGGAGGCTGGTGATTACAGACAGGTGTCGGGGGGCAGAGCGGAGGGGCCATTTACGTGATGGAGCTTATTTGACTGACACAACAGTGCTGCTCGAAGGTCAAGAAGGTGCTTATCAAAACATCTTTGGAAGCTGGTTCATGCTGGGTCTGAGTGCTGTGGTTGCAGGGATCTGAAGCCTGTAATATTCATCCGTGTACAACAGTTTTTTCATAGGAACCAGTGTTATTTGTTTTGAGCTGTTGAATTGAGGGCATGTTGCAAATCAATTATTACATTTCTTTTTTTTGTACATTGTATGAGTACATACAGCATTATTTTTGTTTCCCAAAAATGCAAATACATAAACTGTGTGTGTAACATGTCAGCGTGCCGGGTGACCTCATGCACACAAACCATTTATAGGATCAGATTGGTTTCTTCACTTTTAAACATCTTAAAAGGGATACGTCTATATAGGTTAGCTTAAAGTAGCTAAAGGAAATGGACAGTTAAAATAACTTGGTGTGGGTTTAAATATTTCAATAAGGAGGTAATTGTAAGGCTCTGAATGACAGAATAGTGGAGTATATGTTTAAGCCAGAAGGCTTCCACCCTTCAGGGGGAAGTGAGGTCAGGAAACACACATGGACCTCATCTCATCAACGAGTGGGTACAAAAGGACGAACAGGATGGTGGTGGTGCTCCGTTACATCTCCAAGGTGGAGAAGTAGGTCCCGGCGAGTCAGATGGGGCCTGGTCCGATTTAGTTTGGTGAACTGGGTTCTGGAAATGAGCTTTATTTATATGTTTTTTGGTTCTTCACATTGTTTTATTGTTTTATTACTTACACGTAGTCTTCCTCCGACTGCTGCGCCGCCATTTATGCCGCAGTCCTCTGTGTTTGAGTTTATCAGAAAGGGCTTTGGGAGTGTCGAACAAAACAGTTTAGGGACCGCTAGTGCAGATTAGCAGTGTGCTATTTAAAGAGGCTGCCTCTATTGACTGCAAAGAAATTGGTAATTAACCGACGGCTGACTCAGGTAACTTTGTGCGTCAGGGTGGTTGTGGAAAAAACGATGAAGCACATCTTCCCGGGTGTCATAAAGCCTTTCTTTATGGCCAGTTTGTGTAGCCTTGCAGATTAAGTTCAAAGAGAGACGGACCATCTCCGCTTCATGCATCTTAAATCCTGTTTCTCTTTAGCTGGATGTGTAGGTGAATTGTGTGGTCTGCAACGAGATATCCCTGGTGTCAGCGGCTATAGGGCCGCTATAAGAAGAATGGAGGGGATGGGGTGTCTAAAAGTACATTATTAAAGGGACAATTTCACCTCAAATGTAATGGTGCTGACAGAACAGCATGACCAACTCACTCGTTTAAGATACTTTCCCTGCAGTGGCTCTCTCGCCGGTTAATGCATTTGAGCTCATAGCTCGCAGTGGGCTTGCAGCCTCCGTGAGTAGATGCAAGGATTTAAAAGGGAAGAAATGAGTCATGCAATGAGGTTCTTAGAAAATACTTCCAACATTTACCCCAGCAGAGCAGCTCTGCATGGAGATGAATAGGCTGGTGCCTGGAGATGGCAGACTTCCTCTCTCTGTGAGACATAATGACCAATTTCAAATAGGGGAACTGGCAGAGAACCCGCAACTGTCTAATCTCTAAACGTCCTCCACTGCAAACAGCTGGCCCGGCTGAATGATCCAGGTATTATTCTTGTTCAGGGTCAAAATTAATTAACGTGGGAGCGGCATTTGGCTCTCATTCATATGTGAATAATTTATTTTTAAAAAGTCTAGAAAATACACTGACAAAAAAAAATTCAAACACATCCTGTTTTAACATTTGCACTAAAAAATAATGAATGTTCTCGTATTCTCAACATCCTAACATAAAAATGTATCTGTGTGCTGCTGAGGATTATGACAAAAAATAACATAAAAAACAGTAATTGTTGGAGCCATTCTGAATACGGCAATGGGATGGCGCTGTTTTTGCCACCAGCCTATTTAACGCCAGGGCTAATTAGTGCAGGTGTGGCGCACAGCGAGGCAGATAACTTTGGACCGTGAGGCACGGCGGATTGGGAACCGAATTGTTTGTTATTTTTGTTATAAATAAATGGATTAACATATCCGATGTTAAGTTCAGAAGTTTTTGAAAGTAAGTTATTTTTATTTTAAGACACAAACAATTCGCCGGAAAACACGAGTACAAAACAACTTAAATGTGCGCCAACAATTAGTCAAAAGTTTGGCTCAGTATGAGAAAAAGACCGATCAAGTTTAGACGGCACGATCCTTGTGCTGTTTGAGCACCTTGTCTTCGACGGCGATCGGCTGAATGGAAACGCTGTCGCGTGCTTTGGATATAGCGTCAGTCGTATACTACGGGCGCAGCGCGTCTCACATTGGACAGTGGAGCAAACCACGCAGCCACGGGCGGAGATCGGTGACCGGTAGCGGGGATCGGCGGCGGAGGACGGTGACCGGTAGCGGGGATCGGCGGCGGAGGACGGTGACCGGTAGCGGGGATTGGTAGCGGATGTCGGTGAAACTACGCTGGAGCCTCACAGTGGATAGTGAGGCAGTCCGAACTCGGTCACGACGGAGGTCGGTGAGCGTTCTCACATTGGTCAGTGAGGATTGGACACTACGTCACCAAGTGAAGAAAAGTTGGTTGGACCTGGAACGAGCCGCGAGGTATGAGCAGTTAACACACACGAGTAAGCAGGAATGAAGCAGAGCTGCCTGCAGTTATTAAAGTGTACACGGCAGGACTAACGAACACAATGTATGGACATTTGGTTTATCGACATTGACATTTTCCAACGAGGACTTGAAATAAGAGACATTTGGGTTTGCAAGAAAATGAAAGTGTTAATGGTTTGTTTTTTATTCTGATGCTCGTTTTCATGATATTGTGAAATATTGCTGTTTCTGGGTGGTTGACTGGAAAACAAGGTAAAATGGATGAAGATCATCAAGGTAGTGAGGTAACAAATGTGTCAGCTGACTTACAAAAGGTTAATAAGGATGAAGCCTCTGTGAAAAAAAGGTCTGTAAAATTGACACAAAAAGTACTGCTTTCCAAACTAGGTGGCTTAGAGACACTAAGGAAATCCAAGTTAAGTAAAGCTGCCAGTATAAAACAAACTGTTCAAGGGTTAATGTGTCAGTCTGGTTATGAAGCTGAAATAAAAGGTAGCTTCAGCAAATATCAAGCCTTGATTAAAGACGCAAAAATTGCATATAACCAACTGCTTGAGTTGCTACCCGTAGATGAAAAGGAAAGGCATGAAACCTGGTTCAAAGCAAAGCTGTTAAGTGTGAACGAATTTTGCCATTGCGTAGAAAATCGTTTTAAGAGTGCAAACAATGGTACTACTGAAACCGTTGCCCTTGAGGATGATATAAAGCCAACGGATAGTGTATCAAATGTTGGTACATCATCATGCACTAAAAGCCGTACCAGTGAAAGATCAAGTCGATCAAGCAAAGCTGCATTGGAAGTTGTACACGCGCAAGCAAAAGCCAGGAAAGCTGCACTCATAGCACGTGCAGCAGCGTTAAAAAAGAAACATGAATTGGAAAGGGAGGTGGAATCAATAAGGAAAAAACTGGAACAGGTGGAAATGGATGCTGAGATTGAAGCCTCAGATGCAGAATTGGCAGTACTGCAAACATTTTCAGATCAGGATGGTATGGAGTCGTACATTGAGAAGCAAAAATCAAAAGAAAGCCCTAACGTTTCTGAGGCGAAGTTTGAAAAATCTACAAGATTGATGAGTAATAAAGGTTTATCTACTGCTAATGTTGCACATGCAGATGATGACAATTCTACACAACAGATTCTGCAAAGGCAAAATGAAATATCCGAGCTGCTCTTACAACAACACAAAGCAAGCCAACTGCCACCTAGACAACTACCTGTTTTCGAAGGTGACCCATTGAAGTTCAAAATGTTCATGCAAGCTTTTAAGCATTGTGTGGAGGAGAAAGCTGCATCTAAAGGGGATTGCATGTATTTTTTGGAAAGGTACACCAGGGGGCGTCCTCACGACCTTGTGCAAAGCTGTTTACATATGAGTGCGGAGAGAGGTTTTGAAACAGCTAAAGCTCTCCTACGGGAACACTTCGGCAATGAAACAAAGATTACAGCAGCATATATGGAAAAGGTTCTCAACTGGCCTGTGGTGAAGCCTGAAGGGGTTTTGTTTCTACAGGACTATGCATTATTTCTACGTGGATGCTATAATGCAATGTCAGATTTGGAGGACATGAAAGAGCTGGACTTGCCGGCTAACCTCAAAACTATTGTTTCAAAACTTCCTTTTAAGTTGAGGGAAAAGTTTAGAAGTTCTGCTTGCGGTATTCGGGAGCGACAACTCCGCAAACCTAACTTTAAAGACGTTGTACACTTTGTGGAATATGAAGTAAAAATCTTGTCTGATCCTATTTTTGGTGATATTCAATCTACTGAAAGAGAGAGGCAGGTTAAAAGGGATGTGTATACAGCCAAGCCTAGGTCGAAGCAAGGTAACTTTGCTACAAACGTCTGTGCTGTTAGCAAAGTGCAACGCAGGGACAAGCAAGAAGGTAAACACAGGGAGAGCAACATCGGCATCAATTGTTTATTCTGTTTGCAAGATCACAGTCTGGATGAATGTCAACGACTTGCAAAAAACAAACATCGTGAAAAGATCAACTTCTTAAAGGAAAAGGGAGTATGTTTTGGGTGTCTCAACATTGGGCATTTGAGCAAAAATTGCGATAAGCGGAAAACCTGTGAAAAATGCAAACAGAGCCATCCAACAGCTTTACACATTCACGTCAAACAAGTGGACAAATCGATGAACAGCAGTGGCATCTATCCCAAGGAACCTAAACCAGCTGTAAACCATACGCTTGTGTCAGCTCAGACATTTGGGAGCCAGACCGGGGCCGGTGGTAGTGGAATGCTCTCCATCCTGCCAGTTCAGGTAAAAGCACAAAAGGGCAACAAGGTCATTCAGACTTATGCTTTTCTGGACAATGGCTCGACATCCACATTCTGCTCTGAAGCTCTTATGCGTAGACTTAATCTTACTGGAACAAAGTCAAAAATAGGTTTGTTAACGATGAGCCCAAAGACATCAGTGTCAACATACATTGTGAATGGACTTGAAGTAGCTAGCCTTAATGGAACAAGGTACTACAGTCTTCCAAATGTTTACACACAGAAAAAGATGCCAGTTGACACGGCAAACATCATAAAACCAGAGGACATATCACAGTGGCCTTACCTTGATCACATTGAAATCCCTGAAATTGATGTTACCGTGGAGTTATTAATAGGTACTAATGCTTCAAAGTTGCTAGAACCATGGGAAATTGTGAATAGCCAAGGTGAGGGTCCTTTTGCTGTTAAAACCCTATTAGGGTGGGTGATCAATGGCTTAGGAAAGGATTCCAAAGACAATAGGAATGGCATTGGCTATCCTTCTGTTTCTGTAAACAGATTATCTGTAGAATCACTTCAGCTGTTATTGGAGAAGCAGTACCAAAGTGACTTCAATGAGAAAATCGCCGACGACACTGAAGAAATGTCAAGGCAAGAGGCAAGATTCATTAAAATAATGGATCAATCTGTAAAGTTAAAGGACGGACATTACAGTTTAAAGCTGCCATTTAAAGCCCAAGAGGTAACTTTGCCAAACAACCGTTGTATTGCTCAACAGCGCCTCATTGGACTAAGAAGGAAAATGGAAAGAAATGAGAAATTCCACCAAGAATACACAAGCTTTCTTGAAAATGTCATCAGTAGTGGCTATGCAGAAATGGTACCACAGGATGAATTGCGTTGTGGAGAAGATAACCTGTTCTATATACCTCATCATGGAGTATATCACCCACGGAAGGGCAAGTTGCGAGTTGTCTTCGACTGTGGAGCTAAGTTTAAAGGAACGTCTTTGAACGAACAACTTCTGCAGGGTCCGAACCTTACAAGTTCCTTAATAGGAGTGTTTCTACGATTCAGACAAGAACCAGTTGCTTTTATGTCTGATGTGAAGTCTATGTTCTATCAAGTTAGAGTGGCCGACGAAGACAAAGACTTTCTAAGGTTCCTGTGGTGGCCTAATGGAGATCTGCACAAGCAAGTTGAAGAATATAGAATGACTGTACATCTCTTTGGAGCAGTGTCGTCGCCTAGTTGTGCATGTTATGCTCTAAGGAAGACAGCAGAGGACAGTCGGAATGGGTTTTCGGAGGAGGTGATTGACACGGTATATAAAAATTTCTATGTGGACGATTGTCTGAAAAGCTCACCGTCTGTGCAGAAAGCAGTACAGATTGTCCAGGACCTGACTGAACTTTGCCAGAAAGGAGGGTTTCATCTTACACAGTGGATAAGTAGCAGTCGCAAAGTCCTTGAAACAATTCCTGAGAAAGAACATTCTAAAAGTGTGAGTGAACTAAATTTGGACATAGACCAACTTCCGGTGGAAAGGGCACTGGGGCTACATTGGTGTCTGGAAAATGACAAGTTTAACTTCCATGTGAACTGCAAAGAACGGATGCAAACACGGCGAGGGATTCTATCAGTCACTAGTGCAGTGTACGATCCCTTAGGGTACGTTGCGCCAGTCCTTCTTCCAGCCAAGCACATATTACAAGAGTTGTGCAAAAGGAACTATGGCTGGGATGAAGAAGTTCCACAAACCTTAAAACAGCAGTGGATAAAGTGGCTAACTGACCTGAAAGAGATCTCAGAGTTCCGAGTGAGTAGGTGCTTGAAACCACATGACTTTGGAACACCAGTCCACGCCCAGTTGCATCACTTTGCCGATGCCAGCGAAAGGGGATATGGCACGGTAACTTACCTAAGGTTACAGAACAAAGCAGGTCATATTCATATTTCCTTTCTTCTTGGAAAGTCCAGAGTAACACCTCTTAAACCCGTAACCATTCCTCGTTTGGAACTCACTGCTGCCGTTTTAGCTGTTCGAGTGGACAGGATGGTAAAATCAGAGTTACAGCTTTCTTTGTCAGAATCCTGTTTCTGGACTGATAGTACTACAGTCTTGAAGTACATCAGCAATGAAAACAAAAGGTTTCGAACATTTGTGGCCAACAGAGTAGCCATCATTAGGGAATCTTCAGAGCCAGCACAGTGGCGCTATGTTCACACAAAACAAAATCCTGCAGATGACGCATCTAGAGGACTGACAGTCCATAAGCTTTTGAACAGCAAAACATGGCTATCAGGTCCAGAATTCCTGTGGAGAGCAAGAGAAACATGGTTACAGTACGAAGTGGAGTCCACATTGGAGGAGGATGATCCAGAGGTCAAAGTGGAAATCTCCACAAACGCAATAACCATTCAAGAGGATAATGCAACCAGCCAACTCATCACCTATTTCTCTGACTGGAAAAGGTTGAAAGTTGCAGTTGCATGGTTGCTGTTGGTCAAAGGGACTCTATTGGAGTTGAGTCAAAGAAGGAAGCAACTTGTGAAAGATGGAATGGCTAATCTTGATGTTGACAGAAAAATGTTGGAAGCCAGAAGGTCGTTCAAACGAGAACGTGTATCAACGGAGGATCTATTAGCAGCAGAAAACGCTATCCTTCAGTTCTGTCAGAGGGAAAGATTTGACACTGAGATTTGTGCACTAAAGGCAGGAAAACCTGTAAAAGGGTGTAGCCCTATCTACAAGCTGAATCCTGTCTTAGAGGAAGGACTGGTAAGAGTTGGTGGAAGATTGTCCAGGACTGCAATGCCCGAAGAGAGCAAACATCCAGTCATCCTGTGTAAAGATCAGCACATCTCCATGTTAATTCTTAAAAATATTCATGAACAGACAAGACACGGTGGGAGAAATGACATCCTTTCCAAATTGAGAGAGAAGTTCTGGGTCACTCATGCCAATGCAGCAGCAAGGAAAATCTTGTCAAATTGTCCTTTTTGCAGACGTCACCAAGGAAAATTGTGTGATCAAAAGATGTCGGATCTTCCCAAAGAGAGGATTACTCCAGACTTCCCTCCATTTACTAACGTGGGCGTGGACTATTTTGGGCCTATTGAGGTAAAACAAGGACGTTCTTATGTGAAACGTTATGGAGTTATCTTTACATGCATGGCCAGCAGGGCAATTCATTTAGAAGTGGCACACTCGTTAGACACAGACTCCTGCATCAGTGCTATTCGTCGATTCATATGCCGAAGAGGACCCGTGGCACACTTTCGCTCAGATAATGGCACAAATTTCACAGGTGCAGAAAAGGAACTAAAAAGAGCAATTGCAGATTTAAACCACAGATCAATTGAGAAGGCTTTAATTCATGACAATATCAAGTGGACGTTCAACCCACCTGCAGCTTCCCATCATGGCGGTGCTTGGGAAAGCATGATCAGACTGGTCAGGAAGGTCTTGGTATCTGTTTTACATCTACAGACTCTAACTGATGAAACGTTAGTCACAGTCTTATGCGAAGCCGAAGCAATCTTGAATGACCGACCAATTACGAGAGTTTCTGAGGATCCTAATGATTTAGAGCCACTAACACCTAATCATCTTCTTACTTTGAAAAGAATACCAGTTTTGCCTCCAGGTCTGTTTGATCAAAAGGACCAGTACGTAAGACGAAGATGGAAACAGGCTCAGTATCTTTCAGATTTGTTCTGGAAAAGGTGGACGAAAGAGTATCTTGCAACGCTACAGGAAAGACAAAAGTGGAACAAGACACAACGTAATCTTATGGAAGGAGATATTGTTTTGATTGCAGATGCTACAGCACCACGAAATTCTTGGATGATTGGAAGGATTATTAAATCCTTTCCAGACAAATCAGGCATAGTTAGATCTGTGCAAATCAAAACCAAAACAAATGTAATTGAAAGACCAGTGACAAAACTAGGACTATTGGTAGAGCAGTCAATGTAAAAGTAAAACAAATGCACCAAAAGAGGGTTGATTTGCTTTTGTTTATTATTTTTGTTTGCAAACGTTGTTTTTGTTGTATGAATGTCTCCATACATGAATTGTTTGTAATTGTCATGTCTTGAAGTGCCATGAACAATTAGGGGCCGGTTGTGTTGGAGCCATTCTGAATACGGCAATGGGATGGCGCTGTTTTTGCCACCAGCCTATTTAACGCCAGGGCTAATTAGTGCAGGTGTGGCGCACAGCGAGGCAGATAACTTTGGACCGTGAGGCACGGCGGATTGGGAACCGAATTGTTTGTTATTTTTGTTATAAATAAATGGATTAACATATCCGATGTTAAGTTCAGAAGTTTTTGAAAGTAAGTTATTTTTATTTTAAGACACAAACAATTCGCCGGAAAACACGAGTACAAAACAACTTAAATGTGCGCCAACAGTAATATCTCATCATGATTCAGTGTTTTGCTGAACATGTTGTGTTTTCAAAACATACAGCAGTAGAGATTTTATTCTACATCAATTGACCTTTGTGTGTAACACACACTTGACATTTGGCACTTTTAATAACAAAACCATTTAAAAAAGTGATTTTAACTCACTTCAGGAATTATTAGATAAATTGCATTCATTTCATCAGCATCATGACAGAGAAGAAAGCCAGTTGTTTACTTTTTATATCCTCTACCACGTGGGCTGAAAGGTCCTGCGTTCCACTAAACTGTGAGACAGGTTTCTGAGTTCGGCGGCGGAGTGAACCTGCTTGTATCCCAGCAGGGCCAGAGTGTCGTTGCACAGGTTCTGCACGGCCCTGACGATGTCAAAGCCCAGACGAAGCCTCCAGCTCTCCGACGTCGCCCTGGAGTCCCTGGCGGTGGAGTACCTGTAGTTCCACTCTGAAGGGGACGACGCGTTGCTCTTGGTGTTGTTCGCGATCCATATTCGTACCCTGTCCTCCATCTCAAGCCCCACGAACCTGTAGATCTCGGCGGCCTTGTCCCTCGGATTGAACGGCAGGTCCTCGTATCGCACCAGGAGGTAGCGTTCCCGCAGCCACGTGGGCCTTTGCAGCCCTGTCTCTGCAGAGGCCGCCATGTCTTTGCAGGTGCTGGTGATCTGCGTCAGGTCCACGTATCGAGGCTGCCGTCCCGTGGCGTTCCATATTTTCCAAGTGCGGAACTGATCCGAGAAGGCCATCATGCGCGAGGCGAGGACGGCTCGGGGGTCCCTCACCAGGTGGACGATCCTCAGGTCCAGACGTGGGTCCTCCGTCAGGGTGCGCAGGTCCCCCACCTCAGGGACACGCACGGTCTTGATGGCTACATGTTCCCTTGACAGGCACGACACAGAGGCCAGCGTGAGGTTCAGGGCCCCACACTTCTTGGGACACCAGGTTTCGTCAGGCGTAGCCGAGCCCGCCGCGCCACCCCTGTTCAGGCACACGGGAGGGGAACAGAGAGCGTGGCTGGAGCTTCGGCGGAAAAAGGAGTTGGTGACGTGGTCCTGGGGCTCGGGGCGAAGTGTCTGGAGTCTGGGAGGACGAAGAACAACAAAGTTAATTGACCCGTGACACAAATTTTCGGTTGCGTGGTGTCGTCTTAAAACAGGCTTATTAACCAATATACACAACAAAAACACAACTTGTTCAACCAAGTTATTTCAGTTATTCTAGAGGAGTTACTTCAGCTCGTAAAAGTGACAATGTCGGTTTTCATCACAATTCAGTCTGGGAGAAAACCGAACGACTGAATCAAGCCAATAAAGCTTTAATAATTTAGAGGGTAAACATACATGAGTAAGTTGCTTGTCTGCCGGCGGTTACCGAAGGGGCTTATGAAATGGCGGATCTCTAAATATAGTGCAAATAGCTAACGTATAATTACTGCTGATGAGGAGTTGATTGCAACACACAGGAGCCGCAGCTACAGCTGCACTATGAGAGGGGATTAATGGAGATAAATTGGAAGATAATTGTAAAACAAATGACACATATTCAATTTTGCTATGCTCCCCACCTGTTAGGAATTCCCTTATTTAATGATCTGCTTTTCTTTTCTTGATTTTCAGTCACACGGTTAACATTTTACAAATACTAACAATCAACTTATTCCACCCTACCTTTGCTTCACGAGCTGTTCTCGCACATTTCTGCAATACACACGAGCTTGTATCTGCACACACCGACAGCTACACACACATGTGGGACAATCCTGTCTGGCTATGGAGGCGTACCTCTGTGTTGTCTGGTCTGGCAGTGGTGGGCTCCCTGACAGGGCCCAGACAGAGAGTCTCTCAGGGTGCGGATGGCCGTGTACTGGACCCCGAGAGACGCGCACACCAGGAGCAGCACCGTCTTCCAGGAGCACTACATCCCGCCCCCCCCTCTGGCTCTGCATCCTACACGCTGACGCCGGCGGGGAGGCACGGAGACACACATAATGAGATTTCATCTTGATGCTTTTTTTTTTTATCAGCTTCTGTTAGGGTTTCGGAAAGCTCTCGAGGGAGGCCTCACTCCTTTGTTCTCGTCCCGGCCGGAAACGAAGAATCAAAAGAGTCAGCTTGCTTAAATTCCAAAATCAAAAAGTATTTAATAACTAAACAACGTTATAAGGAATACAATTGCAAAGTGAAATACAAAGCGAACAGTTAAATATTTCGCGAAATAGAGAATCCTCTGAGCAAGTCTAAAGTGACTTATCAAAGCGGCTGAAGGAAAGTTCTAACAGTCCTTTCCCCGCTTTGGTCCTTTGAAAACTGTTGAGGTGTGTCTTCTTTGGTGCATTTGAATGTCATTGGCTTCTCCTTCAAAGTGTCCCCTCCTGGACTGTCCCCTTCACGTCGAGGTGTGAAGCTGCAGCTGTAACCTGAACCTCTCTGTACTATCTGTCCCTCACATTCCAATGCATTCAATGTAGATTCAGTTGGCTTTATGCCTCAATGAGTGAATTTAACAAAGCATGCATAGTTTAAGTTTTCATCTCATAACTGGGTCGTCGTGGCGCAGGGGTAAGAGAAGGTGTGCTGGGAAGCACAAGTTTGGTGGTTCGATTCCAGGCTGCCCCATGTTCCATGTCGAAGTGTCCCTGAGCAAGACACGTAACCCCTAATTGCTCCCCGGGCAAAAATGTGAAAAAGCCATGGGTTTAAAGTGTAACGTAAGTCGCTTTGGATAAAAGCGTCTGCTAAATGACCTGTAATGTAATGTAATAACTAGTACACTTTAATTACAACACATCATTAATGATCCCCGTTCATCACACTTCATCATAAGATCTAAGACCGTTGATGTGGTCCAATTCTCAAGACATTTGCCTCAGTCGGCTGCCTCGCATTAAGTTGTTCATTTATTACCTGACAGGAGAAAAAACTCCCCAAAAACCCTCTTTGGGGATAAAATTGGGAGAAATCCATAAAGGACGGCAATTAGCATCCGTCCCCAGGTTTTAACATCACATTGTGACAGAATGTTAATGTGTACAGTGTTTATATGATTTAAATGACTATGAATTGTGTTTGATTGAAATTGCATTCACTTCATCTAACATGTTAATGTAATAACTAATATCTAATATCACAAACTACAATTCTATCACTAAACATTATTACACGTACTATAAATTCCACCACTAGGGGTGAACTTCTGGCTTAAATCCCTAACACTTCATACGTGTGCAGCTCCTACTCCTTTACCTCTGCAACCTTCCTCTTTTCTGGAGCACTTCTTGCTCAAGGGCACTACAACAGGAGAAAGTATGTCACATAAACTTGTCCCTTTGAGGTTTCTCCTTGCCAGTTAAGAATGTGAACAATTGCCCAACAATTTGTTTGACAGGGTTTTCTAGTGAAGTTGTTGAAAAAGGACAACACTCTCCTTTCTGTAACTTGGCTTAGCATAAAGAAGGAAATTGAGTGAACTCAAACACTCGCTCTTTCCAAAGATGACAACGTCAAACCTTCACAGCTCGCTGACATAAAATGTCATGTTGATTGGTGAGCCTTAGAGGTCTTGGAAGACAAATTGTGTGACTGTCAAACAGAAAAGACCTGTCTTCCCAGGTTCACAGTTTTTAGTTGGATTTTAGTAAGCAGATAAAATAATTTACCGTAATGTAAATGATTCATTGAGTACACACATGTCTCTCTTTCTTTAAAAAAATGCAAAATGGATGAAAGTTTGCTCTCTTTTTCTCTACAAACAAAGCAAACAGACAGCGAATTTCTACAGGAAATATAGAAGGTGATGTTAGAAGCTCAACATAAACTGGTTCTGCGTTTGTTTCCTAAAGGATCAGCCGATTTGTTCTGCAGAAAAACACAAAGGTCAGGCCTTTACTGCGAAATGTTAGCAGTAATTTCCCATCTACAACAGCACTGTTCCAGATATTCTGTGCACACGTGCATATTGCATTTCATTTTTGCTTTCCTTCTCTACTGGGTAATTAAGCCTCTAAGCCTAGCAGAGAGCTACATACCAAGATAAATATAGCTGTCTTCATATAGATGAGTGGAGAAGTTTCCTTTGTACACTTCAAATTTTTTTGCCACTGGGCATGAAAGAGCCATAGGGAGATGTGATTTTCCAAATGGATTTTGAAAAAAACAAGGCACTGCTATCCATTTGTCCCTTCGCACCAAACTGATGGTAGGTAATCACAGCAGATCCCTGGGTGCAAAGTGTGTCTCTATCACTCACTAAGGCAATCATAATCTAAACCACAGATATATGTCGTATTACTGACAAAAATAAATATCACCTTCCTGTTTGCATCTTCTCGCACTTTCCCTGTCACTCTATCTCTCTCCGGTCTGCCTCTTGTTCATTAATGATGTTTATGTGTCTCTAGCAGACTCATATCCTCAGGAATGTATCACACAGAGCTCAAATCGGCTTTTGATTTTCCATTAATCACAAACAGCGCTAAAAACGCTGCTGCTAGAGTTCTAACAAAGACCAAAAAATGTGAGCACATTACACCAATTCTTAAATCCTTACATTGGCTCCCAGTATGTCAGAGAATTAATTTCAAAATCCTACTGCTCACATATAAATCACTACATGGTTTAGGGCCAAAGTATATCACTGATATGCTTCCACTACATAAGCCTTCAAGATCACTAAGATCTTCTGACACCAATCTGTTAGTGATTCCCAGAGTAAATACAAATCATGGGAAAGCATCATTTAGTTATTACGCAACAAACAGCTGGAATAAACTTCCTGAAGATTTAAGACTTGCCCCAACTCTGACCACGTTTAAAACAAGACAGAAAACTTTTATGTTCAGCTTCGCCTTCTGCTAAATTTTACCTACATTGCACTTTTAACCTCTGCTTTTAATTAAACAATTTAAATAAGATTTTAATTTATAATTTAATTTGCTGTTTTTAATTGTCTTTTAATTCCTGCATTTTATTTCACTTTATTGTATGAAATGTTATGATGTGAAGCACTTTGAGTCTGAGTCTGCAGATAATGCAAAACTTTGATCAAGCTTCTTACTATCTCTGACACTTGAGAAAAGAAGGGAGGAAAAACAAATTCTTTCAATTTGACAGTTCTGCCATCAATACCCAACATGTACTGCACAGCTGGCTGACCGAGGCACATCACACAATTCCTCAGCGACAGGTTTTGTTTTCCTCTCCAGTCGGGATCGGGGGCTCAGTGAAGTCTCTGCTACACACCCCGGTGCCCTCCAGAGAATGAGGACAGATGCTTCAATGGATTAAAGCAATTTGATTTGTCCTCTTTTTCTCCCTGGCTTATGACTCCTCCCATAACGAGACTCACAGCAGGAATAATAGACACTCTGTCAACAGTTCAGTTGACAGAGTGTCTTCAGATGGTCTCAGCGTTTGCATGCCCCCCCCCCCCCCCCCCCCCCCCCCTACCCCCGAAAAAATAACCGTGCTTACAGGGGTTAAAAGCCTACAGGGGGCAGGATCGATCAAAGACTAGCCTTCGGCGTCAGGTGGTTTATTGGCAACGATCAATCCTGGGGAACAGAGTTTTGTGCCTCCAGTTAGTCCCTCTTGCTCTTTCTGTCTCTCTACCGACACCACACACACACACACGCGCGCGCACATAAATGCAGAGTGCCACAGGCGGAGAGCAGAGTGGAGCCGCTCCGGCGTGCAGAAGATCTACATCTGACCCCGGGCTATACAAAGGAGCTCCCGTGATAGGGGAGAAGATGAATCCCATTCTACACGATTCCTCCAGCACACACACGAAATAAAGATGCAGAGGAAATTAATGAACGTGCAATTTGATCCGAACCCGTCGTCGCTCACATCGATACAAAGCCCCGTGAGAAAACACATTCACTCAAAAGTGAAGGTTTTTCACCAACTGTTTGAAGACACTGATTGAATGTTCTTGTTTATACCATATTTCAGCACCATTTGAAGTAGCAATTAAACACGTCGTCATAGTGACACGTCAACAGCTTCTACTTACAGGACAAAAGAGAAAATGTGAAATGCACTAATTATTTTTGCATTTAATAAGCAGCAATATGAATACAACATGAACAATGTTCTTTAAATTCAACTACAGTTGATAGGACACAAATGTTGAACCGGATCTTCCTTTCCTTTCTAAAAATATATCATTGTCAAAGACACTACGGGGGCAGGTTTCAGGTGGTCTGCCATGTTTTCAAGGCGGACATCTGTTAGAAGAGTTGACACACATACAGGTCATGAGCCAAGCCACACGGTCTTCATCCTCAGAGCAGGAATATATAGTTGGAAGATAAACATGATAAAACAGGTGGGAGTAGTCAACCTCGGATGTAGACGATCATCTTTGGCACCACAAGATTATGAACATTGACGCACAAACATCTTGATTATCAGATGACCCATGTGAAACAGCAGACTCTCTGTCATGCCAAAGTAGAACATTATTGCAGTTTTTCCAACAACATCTGTAAATAAAAACATTAAAAGACATTTTAAAAATCACTTTTGGCCCGTTACGCCTTTTGCCGGTAACCATAGTTGATTTGTTAACATCTATTCCCTGGAAGATGCTCACTGGAATATTACACAGAATAATCGTTTGGATTATGCAAACAAAGATGTGGACAATGTGTTTTACTGTGGCCCCACTCGCTTTCTCGGTGTATTCTGCATATAAAAACAAAAAGAAATTTGATAACAACCACATCCCATAAAACCAGTTGTTATCAATAACACAGGTCCATGCCTGCACAACATGCTTACACCACAAACTAACAGCCCGTCCACATCGTCAGCAGGATAGAATGATGATATGATTTCGATTGGCACTTTTGGAATAAAGTATTTAAAGTACTTACAAAGTACATAGTAGAGTGACTTCTCTTCGTTAGAGCACAGTCGAGTTTCCAGGCCAATGCAACTTTCAAAGTTCAAAGGACCTGCGCATGCGCACGCGTGTTCCACCAGTGGACACACTGGCGTGGATCACACAGACAGAACGTGATCTCATTACGATGTCGTGGGAGCTTTGTTGGCAGCGCACAGTCTATGGTTCCATATTAATTACATTTTTTAATGAAAAATGAATAACGTCCGGTGTGATATGATTTGGGGGAATTACATTCAAGGCAACCACTATGCATATCGTCACTCTTTCAAATAAATTTAACATTTTAAAACAGACAAGTAAATTCGTTTTTATCGAGAAAATAGGTCTCACATGTTTAGACCGAACATAAACTAATTTACAATTCAATTAAAAAGCAACGTTGAAATTCCCGTTGTTGCAGTAACAACTAGCAAACATTTGTTTCTGGAAATAGTGAAATATTTGCAGTGATTTACTCCCAACTAACTAAATTACTTACGACTAAATTAAGAACAATTGCATCTTGACATCCATACGTCCGCGTGGAGCATCGAAGGCGATAAAGTGAGACTGGGTCACTTTAAACTCACCCTCAACTACCGCTCACACACTTTCGCTCGCTGTGTGGAGTAATGACGATGTCCTTACCCCTCACAGCATCACTATCGTGACATTCTTCGAGACACAGGGCGTCCCTCCGCACGTCGCTGCTCGTAAAATGCAACAGATACAACATACAACAGAGCCGAAGTGGATTCAGAGCTGGAGATGCGCCGTGGACAGAACGAGAGAGAGAGAGGCAGAGCGAGGATGCGTGTCTCACCCCTCCGGAGACCGCACCGACTACCGGAGTCTCTAGATTGGATGCAAGATTGCCTTGCCGTGCATTACGCTCCGATGCCGTAGGGTACGTGTCACTGCGTCTTGGAGATGCACCTTATCTTAGCAGCCAGTAAACATAACTGACATAGTGAGGTATCTGTCTCGCAAAAAAAAAAAAAAGAGACAAGAAAAGCTGCTTGTTTTGCCATCATTATTTCATGTATTTGCAGGTGAGGACCAGACGCTTCTCATATTTCCTCCAGGCAGGTTTCATCAGCTCAAGCCGGGCATCAACAATCATTTCCCACCATAATTGTCATTCCTCCCTTTTTCTGTCACTGCCACGGTCTCTACAGGTTTACAGACACACACACACACACACACACACACACACACACACACACACACACACACACACACACACACACACACGCACACACACACACACACACACACACACACACTTCATCTTGCAGCTTCATCTCCTGCTGTGGAGTCACGCTGGCTGAAGTGTTTCTTCACTGACGTGCAGACAGATTGGTGGAATAACGCCGCTGTCGTCGGTGCGTTTCAGTTTCGCGCTCTCATCATTTCTGCTGTTGCAAGTTTTAAGCCAGTGGTGGATTAGCTGTAGCTGTGGATCTCACCTGTTTTGGGGCATTTCTGGCAGTGCTTCCACCAAAACAAAGGTGGTATAAGAAATATTCTCAGATATAAGAGCGAGATGAAGTCTACCTCCGAGACTCGGAGCGCCTTTCATTTTCCTTTTCGCCCATGCAAAACCGCAAAACTTTTGCTACCCGTTGTCCCCTGACCGGGGCCGAAACAATTTGTGGCGTAGCCACGGGGCATCAAATTAACATCTCCCAGCTGTGATTTTGGATTGTTACATTGGTGTAAAAAAGTGTGTATGTCTGTGTAAACATCAGATAATCCTAACAATTACTAAAACACAATTTCCTGGCTGGTGTAATGGGAAAATGATATGTGACCCTTTTAAATGCTTCATTTGTATAACCAGTTTATTAGTTGCAAGTGCTTAGGTCACAAAGGCCCTGACATAAGAACTGATGTCTCCCACTTGGATTAGATGTTTCCAGCGTCATAGCTGTAGAGATTGAACAAAGTGTTTGTTATGTCTATGACCACCTTTGTTTTAGCATGTTGGGAGAGAAAGGATACGGTCAAAGAGCTGACGTGTCTTACATGGATAAGATGTTCCCAGTACCCTGGCTGTAGATACTCAACAAGATGGTTAACGGTTTCTGTTGACGCCACCGATATCTAAGTTTAGGTATAAGAACTGCCTCGATGTGTTGGGAAGAAAAGGAGGTTCTTGACAGTCTACTGACCACGTAGCTGTTGTGACCCTTTTTCCCTTGCAAGGAAATAAACGGAGAAAAGACATACTTGACTCAGAGCCTTTGATTCTTACTTAACGATTGTCTGTGCAAAATCTTCCACCACACTGGTTTAAATTTTTTTTTTCTAACTTTGGTTCTGCACTGCCAATGCGATGACTCAGAGTTTGCTTACGCTCAAACCCGCATGCTGCGCAGATGGAGGCTGAAAACCCGCCCTTCCACACGCACACAGAGGGTCTGACAGATGCCTCCACAATTAAGCCACTTCCATTTATAGTCTCTCTCCGTAACAAGGCGAGGGAAGCTGGCTGATGGATCTTTCTGCTCTCGTACTGGTACTGGATGGATCTTTCTGCTCTCGTACTCGTACCCCCCCCCCCCCCCCCGCCGCTGCGTCGGGCCTCCCGGGGGCCTTTTTGTGTGGCCGAGCCCTCTCGTAATTACACCTGAGAGCACCGAGCAGCTGCTCCTCTTTCACATCTGTGTCTCCATCCATCAGGCCTGCAAAGGGGGCGTGATTCATCCGTGCTTTTCAAACTCATTTTAACAAAATGTCAGGAACAATTTGACAACTGTGGCTGCTTTTTTCTTTGCTACAGACATTGTTTGCCTTTTCCTACCACAGTAGCATATCCATGGATCGTGGATGTGTTCATTAAAGGTATCTTTTAAAAAAAAATTGGGGCAAATGTCTAAATTACTCCTTTTACTCATAGCTATCATGGTTCGTTCGTGGCTTAATCCAATGTTTTTTCATGAAACTATTCTGTTATTAAGAGATATTATTACACACAGGTAAACAATTAGTTTTGGATTCCCCTAAAGGTCCATTTGTTCTCTGCAGCTGCAGTATCAGATATTGGCCCGACATCAAATTAAGAACAATGGAATACATATTTGTGTTGTTTTTTTTTATACGCCGGATGAACAAATATTTTCAAGAGAAAACCATATTTCTTCCTTGGATGTATCGGCACTGCTGTGGATCATACATATTTATCAAGGCTCCAAAAGGTGAAGTGTGGAGGAGTATTAAAATCTGGCAGCTGAAAACATATCCAGGATATGTTGCAAGTTGGAACACTGCGATGCCGTTTTGCCGTTTTGCACAAAACAGGTTTTGGATCGTCAGTTTTGCAGCTTGTTTGTGCCCTTGAGTGTCAAAGCACTTTCGGTAATGTGACTCCTGCAAGTCAATATGGCCCTAAGAGTTTTACTATAATATTTTACCCAATTTCAAACAACAATTTGGATATATATATAATCATTTATTTGCCAAGAGTTAGATGAGAGGATTGTCTGATTTAATTCTCCGCCAGGAAGCAAATCCTTTAATGACCTTTCGTTTTCCAACCTTTCCCATTTGTTGAGTTAAACTCTTTTGGACAGAATAACTACGTTGAAGCTAAAGCTTTAACTACTGAAATTGATATACCTGTATATATTTGACAGGAGCCTTTCTAGACCCCGATGTTACCGGCGTAACAGGACACGTGTTTAGTTGGCCGTGATGCAGACGAGTTGCCGTCAGCAGCTAAATAATGTGGTGGAAGATTTTGCACAGACAATCGTTAATTAAGAAACAAAGGCTCTGAGTTAAGTATGTCTTTTCTGTTTATTTCCTTGCAAGGGAAAAAGGATCACAACAGCTACGTGGTCAGTAGACTGTCAAGAACCTCCTTTCTCCCCCAACACATCGAGGCAGTTCTTATATCTTTTAGAGTTTAGATATAAGAGTTTAGATATCGGTGGCGTCAACAGAAACCTTTGACCATCTTGTTGAGTATCTACAGCCAGGGTATTGGGAACATCTTATCCATGTAAGACACGTCAGCTCTTTGACCGTGTCCTTTCTCTCCCAACATGCTAAAACAAAGGTGGTCATAGACATAACAAACACTTTGTTCAATCTCTACAGCTTTGACGCTGGAAACATCTAATCCAAGTGGGAGACGTCAGTTCTTATGTCAGGGCCTTTGTGATCTAAGCACTTGCAACTAATAAACTGGTTATACAAATGAAGCATTTAAAAGGGTTACATATCATTTTCCCATTACAATAACCTGCTTATTAACTCAAAACATGGATAATCGCAGCCCAATGAGACAAGCGTTGGCTTTCTCGGTTTCTACGGAACAAAATCAGATTATATACTGAGGATGAAACATTTTCCAGATTCTTTCTTTAAAGTGTTTATTAAAATGTCAATGCACGCTACACACATTTGTTAAAATACAAACAGGACATTATACTGTTTTATGAAATAAAAGTTGAATCAATATGAACAGTCAGCTACAGTCAATAATGCATGCAAGCACTTTATATAATGTGTTGGGCATCTTCCTGACACGCTATCACAAGATGATAGAAATGATATGGAGGTTGTGATGACTTAGAAAAATAAAAAACAGCTTCAGCACAACCAGGATCCACTCTTATTGTTAATTCTCTGTTCGCTGTGACCTCTGCTTTCCTCTTTATTACAATCACTGCTACAATCCCTCCAACCACCACCAGCAGCACTGCCAGTCCTGCACACACAGCATAGGCAGCAACATTAGAGCCTGTTGATGGATCGGCTTCGGGGTCAGATTTCGGGCTCCGTTCTACTACTACTGTTTTTATGGTGGGCCAAATTTCTACCCTCAAATCGGTCTCCTGTTTGAAAATGCATTTGAATGTGTCATCGTCTAAGTACTGGTCATCCTCTATTTGCTCTTCAGAGTCTGCATCCTCAGTATCATCTGTGTATTCTTCCAGGAAGTCGTCTTCTAAAACAACACACCAGTACACTCCTTGGTCTCTTGCCTCCAGGTGGAATATATTGAACAAGGAGCCATTCTCAGACAGAGACAGTCTTCCTCTCAGATCCCCGGGGATGTGAACAGTCGCGTCCCTTGAGTCGTAGATACGTTTATTTTTGCCCAATCCAGGCTCCGGTGCCACTGCACCCTATGGATATCGTCTCTGTCAGCGTTGCACTCCAGCAGCGTGTTCCCGCCCTCAACGGAAACTTTTTCTTGGGATTCTTTTTGGGAACAATTAACCAGAACGTACTGCAATTCAAGCGAGGAGGAGATGCACGAATAGTCCCCACTGAGCTCATCAGAAAAAGCAGGAATGACCAATGAGAAGTCTTCAGATTTTTCACCAAATGACACGTGCATCTTCTCGCTATCCCCATCGAGACTCCCAAAGGGAGACTCCCAGTGCTGGTCGTTCCCTTCAGAGGGGCATAGTAACACCACTTTGTCCCCGTCCGAGGCAAAAATGTACCTGCTGTCACTGCCTTCTGACGGTTCCACGTTCTGAAAACTGAGACAGTTCTCACCTTTGCTCACAAGACAAATAAAATGTAGATTTTTCTTTAACTGGCTGTTTTTGAGTAAGAGCAATGTCCCGTGATCTCTGACCTCCACCACACTCTGTAGCTCCTTCACCAGCGGCACCAATAACACGGTGCTATCCAGGAGGAGCGTTGGCTTGTATGAGGGATACGACTCGTAGTACCAGCGCACAGAGGTTCCCTCCCAACCGATGTATCTGCTGTTGCATTGAATCTCAGCCCCTCCGTTTTCTTCCTTCACATGAATCTCTTCAGGTGAGGCTTCCTCATTGCACACAAACAGCTCCTGTTTGTGCTGGCTGTGCTAATGGTGACTTCTTAAAGTATTTCAGTTGGAACTAGTGTAAGATAACCAATGAAGCTAAACAATAACACGGAACAAGTGCTGATATGTTCCTGGCTGCACATTAACTGTGTTGGCGGACAGGTTTTGTGGGCGCGGCCAGCCAGCATGCAAGTTCACTGCTGAGAGAGAGTTGTTATGCGTTTTTCAACAAGCATTTGCAAATGCAAAGTTCCTTTATCATTGTGTTCTTATTCAGTGAGCACACTTATCTAAAATAATCTGGCAGTGTGAAGTAATCGGTTGAGTTCTTTCTTTGACACTGTGAGGAAACAGGAATGATTCATTTGGTCTTGTGCTCTTTATCAGGTGGAATGAGTTGCCATGGTTTCAAACGGGCAAAATTTGAGTATTGCGCAACATTGAACTCAAAGTACCCCCAAATCAAACAACATTTAATAATCTAGTGCTAATGGCATCGCAATGTTGCACTTTGCTTCATTATGTGATTGTTACTGTAGCGGTTTACTTGTAAGTAGGTCATTTTAATAAATTAATACATCACCTCAAGTCACATGATGACTTTGATCTTCTGTGAAGCATCTGGACGCGGATGTTATGACTCATTCACTCAATGAATAACTGTAGTAAAAGATAACTGTGAGACTTAAATAGATGAGTGCATTCCTTACTGCCGTTGCATTCAGGTTCATATACCACTAGAAAATCAAAATAGGTAAAATACAAAGTAAAATCTGTGGTACACAATGTAAAGCAGAATTTATTTTTGAACAGTGATTAACTGTGGCAATGACAAACAAGTTCTTTGTCTCTCTCTATCTAAGGCTGCATGCAGTTTACTCAACTATACTGTAAGAAAGAACTATAGCACATTGCCTGGTAAACCCCCAAACCTTAGACTCCTCTGCATTGTTGTGAGGAAATGTCTGGCCAGTTCAGTTAAATAAATGAATGGGTGGATCCCCATTACTGAAGAAAGTATCTATAACAGTATTATACAATTAAAATAACAACATTACAATATTTCACTTGTGTTGCCCAATGCAGTTTAGCCCCTTCCTTATTCAGTGTCTGTGTTGTTTAATCCAAAACATTGCATTTTGCACATTGCGTCATTAATTTGAATGTTCTTAAACACAATTTGTCACAGTATGTGACAATATGTCTCAAGTCTTACAAGTCTTAAGTAAGTCTTACTTAAGTCTGATAAGTTACACTTCCTCCACCAGCTATGTTTATCAGAACTTGTCACAAGCATGAATGACACATTGCAGGGCCAACATGTTGTTTCATGCTCTCCTTTCACTATAAAGAAAGTCCATTCCAATGAATCAAATCTTTGTTTCTTCAGTGTTTGCGATGGTCAGACACAATGTATCTTGCTAATAATAAGTGCACTTTGATGACCAGCTCACCCGTGTCAACTTATCGGGTGATTTTAAAAAGAGAAAAACCACCTCTTTTTTCCTTTGAGGTGCATCATCTGTTTACTAGTATCCGAGCTGACTTCTCAGCAGCAGCAGCAGCAGCTTCCGTGCTACTGAGGGAACAGCTTGCAGAGCCGGTGATCATGATTAAGCACCAACAGCGAGAAAGCTCTCCGTGTGTTCAGTCCAATTCAGCCCTGTGCTGATTACACTCATCAGAGCCCCGTATGCTGCAGGGTTTGGAGGTGCACCAACAGCTGTTTGAGATACAGAGTTTTGCCAGAGTTATTTAATTACTGGACATATTGGCTGCAATAAAAGAGAAGACCGTTGAGCAGAGGAATGGAATAGGCTATTGGGAGCATAAAATCAAACTTTTTTTTTACACTCACGTTGACATTTGAATGAATCAGGGCTCGCCCGTGCTGCAGTACCAGGCATTGCCTGCGTGTGGCGTGGGCGGCGCAGTGGGTGCGCCCCACACCACACGCTCATAGTAGAAGAAGAAAAGTATTTCATAACAAAACGTCACATCTTCTGACCGCTGCTATAGGTAACTGTATGTATTATTAACTATTAGTTTTCCAACAAGCTAACAAACACAAGCACGTCTGTCAACAGTTACCGATATTAACCACTGACCGGTCAAGTCCCAGCGTGCTCCACAGTACCCACGTCTCTTCCACTAGCTAGCGCTAGCTAATGCTAGCTGATGCTAGCTAACTAGCGAGGTGAACACCCAGCATGTATCAGTCAGGGAAGTACTTCTGTGCAAAGGAAAGGATAATCTGAGTCGACCATAGCGCCTCTTTAGCTGTACTGACGTTAAATTAGGTTATTAGTCCTTTGAAGGTGTTACTGAGCTTACTGGTCGACTCATACTTTTTCCCATGAGAAACATCTGGCACCAGCTGGCTATCATCTGATGGCCATGGATTTATGACATTGTCGGAAATTGCATACAAAATAGACATGGTAGCCTCTGTGTCAAAGTATATTGCTCAGGGGTTTTATTGTTTTCTCGTTCAAAAAAGTATAGTGTAAATCCATTTGCTGTCAGTATTCTGTCAATACTAAAAGGAGAAGTTCAGATTACTACCACAACTGTGTCTGTTGTATCTTGCTTTTCTTGTCTGTATCTGTCTCCATAAAAGTCCCCCAGCCGTGCATTAAGGGCAGCAGGATATTGTTGTTCTGCTTGGTAGTTCTGTGGGAAAAGCGGAACAAAAAGAATTACAGTCGCGATTGCCAGTCTCCTGTCTCTATGGATGCACACCTGGCCTTTACCAACCATCCTCACAGCTGTTTCAGCTGTTTGATTGTTGCTACATTTGACAATCTTACTGAGCATCGCTGCACCTGTCTGTTCAAAACAGCTCCAAGTGCCACTTCAGAAGATGAAGCTGGCACTTTTACCAAGACGGTATGTTATATTTGTGCTTCGTTGTCACCCACTGCTGTTCCTTCTTCTCTCGCTCGTTTAGGTGATCTTCCTCCGGACTTTGCATCCATGTTGCGTTTGATTGCCAAGTCCCTTTGCCTCCGGTGCCAGTGTACACCTAAGACAGTGCTCGACACTGAGCTCAGCAGAGAACCAGCAGACCGTGGACGCTCTCTATGATCTCTCTGTGGACATCCAGAAGGTCCGTCAACTAAAGACCTGGGTTCTGCATGAGTGCCCGGCCTACACCAAGCAGATAGCTGACCTGCTGAAGGACATGGGAGCCTCGGGTTCAGTCGTTGCCCGTATCCTAGCAGGTCACCCTGAGGCTGTCCTATGTCATCCGGATCAGATGCGGGCTCAGAGGGAGCTGTGGATGACTGTGTGCCCAAAAGAGAAAGAGCTGGTTGGTATAAATGAGAAATTTCCGGCCTCCTTCTTCACCTCTTCGAGCCACCACGACAACCAGCATGACAACATCGCCTACTTTCAGAGCCTCAACCTCAACAATCGCATCATCACCAAGCTGATGGCCAGCGCTCCACAGAGCTTCAGTCGGCCAGTGGAGCAGAACGAGCTGATGGTGTGCACCCTACAGCAGGCTTACCAAGACCTCGGAGGTGAGGAGGCCAACATGAAGGTCTGGCTTCAGAAGCTGCTGAGTCAGAACCCCTTTGTTCTCCTCAAACGGCCCGAGGTGCTGAGGCAGAACCTGCTGTTTCTGAGAGACAAGGGCTTCAGCCCGGCCAAGCTCCTGCGCCTCCTGTCCAAGCTCAGGGGCTTTGTCACCGAGCTGAACCCAGAGTGCATGAGCCGAACTCTAGCGTACTCCCAGGACACCATGGGCTGCTCCGAGGAAGAGCTGCGGGGAATCATCCTCAACTGCCCGGCGGTGCTTTACTACCCTGACGTTATACTAGCCGAGCGCTTCAAGGGCCTCCTCGGTGCTGGAATCAGCATGCCCCAAATCAAAGAGGCTCCGACCGTTTTGGAGCTGACGACGCAGATAGTGAATTATCGCATCCAGCGACTGAGGGTGTACGGTTATGACATAAGGACGGGTAGTCTTGAGGTCCTAAATGGCACTAAAAAGGAATTTGAGATGAGCTATGGAAAATTAATGTTACGTAGAGAAAGGCCAATTTTTAACCCTGTTGCCCCTTTAAAAGTAGATGACTGACCGAGGTTGTGTGGACTAATACAACAAATTAAGGCTGCTTTAAATGTATTGAGGATTCTTTTTATATATACGAATATGCAATATATGTATATATGTGTATGTTTGTATTTATATATATATATATATATATATATATGTATATATGTGTATGTTTGTATTTATATATATATATGTGTGTATGTATGTATGTATATATATATTATATAATATATATATATATATATATATATATATATATATATATATATATATATATATATATATATATGTTAGTATTATACTAGTTAGTATTATAGATTAGTGCCTCAGGTCCTACGGTGCACTTATTCCAAGCCTCCAATCTATAATCTTACTGCAAATGTAAATTCATATTGTATTGTATTACAGCGTGTTGTGTAACAGCTTACCAGAGTGATATTGGAAAATAAACAAATTTGTCTTTTTAGGGAGGAAGTCGTCCCTTGCCAAATAAATAATTTATTAAATCTTTTTTATTATATATATATAAATAAAACCCTGCATGACATGACGGTAAAGGCAGACATGCTGGATGTTACTGAGTATGACAGGACAAACGCAGCTTTTCAAGGCATTTAATTTAAAGCCTGTGCAAGTGCTTCAGTTTCACACAATGGTCTTGGCAGCACTACTGTCATCCTCAGGGAGGGAATCTAACGGTGTCTCTGAGTTTTATTGTGACCTTACAGATAACAGGAGACTTTATTATACTGTAATTCACTTTTAGAATGTCATTTCAAATTAATTCAAATGCGGCCACACCGTGGAATAGAAAAGGAACACAATATATATTCAGAGAGCAGTTGAGTTTCAGTTCATTAAATCAAGGTAGATTTTCCACTACGTTTGGCTTTATTACGGTTTTCCCGTCTATGTGCGTCATGGTAAAGAGGCTGCTTTTGGGTTAATGCCCACATTTATTTTATTGTAGGCCACAAAATGAATATAAAATATTTCTGAGCATTGTCAAACCAAGAGATTGCACATTAAAATGCTCTTTGTCGTGTTTTAATGCGTCTTAATGTCTCAAAGCCAGCAGAAGCCCTCAAAACACGTGTAAGGGAGCCTTTAACGGGGGTGAGCTTCACAGCTAATGAAGCCATGACTTTATGCCTTAAGCTCCCCTCGCTCTCATAAAGTGGATGATGGGGGTCACAACAAAGAACGCGGACTTGCATGTCTGGAGGCAGAGTGTGTGTGTGTGTGTGTGTGTGTGTGTGTGGGGGGGGGGGGGGGGGGGGGGGGAGGAGTATACGTGAAAACCTTCCTTTCCACTGCCCATCTGCTGCAGCCCGCATAACTGGGCACGGCTCTGTAGTCATGGTGATAGCCACTGGGCAGATGATGCGAAAGTGAGTGCATCTGGAAATGGATTTGAGCTCAGCAGATGGATGTTGACTATAGTTCACTTTTAAACAATTCACAAAGACAAAAGACCTCAGGGGGGCTGCAACATTACCTCAACTCCTCCGCAGCTGATGCGCCGAAAGATTCTTGTCTTGCACAGATATGAGAGACATTTTCTTCAAAGCGGCGTGTTTTGTGTGTTTTTTTCGGTAGTGCAGAGCAGTTGCGTCCAAACGATCCGGATGTGTCGATGAGACGAGGCCTCAGGTGTAGAAACGCAAGAGTTACCTCTGTTACCTCCTCGCTGTCCTCCTGTCCTCTGGGGCCGCGTCAACCATTGCTGTGCCTTTTGAATTACACGGACAAGCCAGGAAGGTTAATTTGAGTGAGTATAAATTGTCCCTTCTCATTTCGAATGTGACACCGGTAGATATTAGCCACGCTCAACAGATTGCTTTTATGGTTCATATCTCACATGATCCGATGGCATATGCGATTTAAAGATATGATTTCCAGCTGAAACCAGAGCTTGGTTGACCAACGTTGCAGTAAATATTCCTCATTTAAGGTCAGTGTGAGGTACGTTTTATTTATGTCTATATATATATATTATTATTATTATTATTATTATCAAGAAACTAACGTAGGGAAAAATACACTTGATTTCATCTCAAATACTCCCCAACATTTAAAGAAAACATTTTTTCCCTACAAAGGAAAACAAAGTTATATACATGTATATGTATTGCATCATACATTCTGATTTGATTTTCCCCTACCTATGCCAGAAAGTTTGCTTTGTGTTATAACTTGTCAACAAGGAACTCTGACCTGCACCCAGACGAGACAATCCAAATACAGCAACGGCCACAAGGTGAATAAATCTCACATTGATGGATATTCAATGCCCCAAAGGTAAATACCTTCTTATTTAAAAAAACAGATTCAGAATTGACAACCATTAATTGGCTCATCTGTCAGCAGCAGTCATTTTGCTTGTGGTGAGGTGCAGTCTGTTGGGGTCATTTTAAATCACACACTCGTCCATAGACGTCTTATTTTCTAATCCCATTGACCATTTAAAGCAGTATGAGATATCATAGTATACATATGTAGAAATAGTACAGTTTACTGTCCCATAGAAATTATATGGATTTTATTGCATTTAATTATCTTTGCTATGATCTGTGAACAGACGGCTTTTCTCATGACATGTAAATGCTTTCTCTTTTTTACATTGTTTGACATGCTATGCTATGACTTCTTTATGACAAGTTCAGACATGCTAAAACACAACTTTAATGTCAGTCTATATCGATTTATGATGTATGTAAGGAGCTGATTGATGGGTGGGTGAGCCTATATAGGGTAGGAACCTTTGGGGGCTCGGCAGGTGTTTCCAGCCGGAATAGCAAAACAGTTTTTGACCGCACGCTGGGTAGTATCATGTAACTCTCTGGGTGGATGTATGTTAAATGTGTGACAGGAGTAGGCTGGAAAATAAATGGACTAAACACAAAGGCTACAAGGACTGTCATTCATCCGTGACGAACAGCGGCGGGTCAACTAGGGTTTCCGGACAAAATGCCTCAGTGGCTTAAAGTGTAGGCTTAGCCTCTCAGTGACTATCTGCCTTTTAATTACATACCATTCTGTGACGTTTTTATGACTTTTTAGAAATACTGTCATATATATACAACATATTACGCTACTTTTTCTTGTCAATTCTTTTCAACTTAGCACCCTGCACCCATCAGCACAACCAACTCTTTCCACTTTGTTACAGTATTGGACTAATCTGAGCTCTGCATTTGACCCTTTTACCATTTTCAGCACTCACCTCTGTCTCCCTCTGAATTATGTTTTTTCTACCCGCAGTCATTATCAGAAATTTCCTTGCAGTTAATTCTGCAGCAGCTGGAGTTCTTAAAGATGCATTACGGACTCTTCAATGGCCTTATTTGACAACTGTTGACCACTTTATTTTTCTGCCCGGTATCCTTATCGTCAATCACACTGTGAACTCTGACCTCTCCTCCTCCCAACCCTTGCGGTCCTGCAATCAAAACTTTTCTTCATATATGTGCAGCCTCCTTTTCTCGACAGGTTACAAAGACCAGTTGGATGTTTCCCTCAAACATAGCGACTGTTGTGTTCAAAAATTAAGAAACGCCGGACGGACAGAGGTCACCGCAGATCAAAAGGTTAAAATCAAATGTATTTAATAAAAGAGATGGTGTTGTGGTAAAAAGAACATCTCAGCTGAGGAGCCGCTGGTCTCAGCGACCAACAGGTCCCAGGTCAGTCCTTTGACCATCCCTAGTGCCCGTCTGTAGCCTCCACCAGTGAACTCGAGAACAATGGTTCCTAGCGGTATTTATACCAATGCTTAAAGGTGTGAAAGTCAGTGTCCACACCTCTGGGAGTGGTCTTCTGGTGAGTTCAATATAACTCGGATTTCGAATGATCCTTAGTCAACATCAGTTGTTGTTCAAGTATTACATGCATGCATTCCAGTTGATTACATTACATCAAATACAATCATAAATGCATTGGTATTATTCTAGTACAGTTGCAGAATTACAGTGGTTTTACAATATTGTCATTACTTTATTGATTACACAGTTTCAGAATCATGGCTGTATTCTGGTGTACACTATATGTATTTTTATTAATTTTATGAACCGGATCGTCAATTTGTTTCTAATATCCTACAATCCATCCCTTTACACCAATTTTGGTGTAAAAACTAATTAGGTGTATCGGTTCATCAAATTTCTCAGTTTTGTCAGATGTGTCGTCTCTATTTGTTTAGCATAACGTTCGATCCAATATGACACGTTTGATCTTACACATTCTAATCATAAGGTGTGCATCTGGACACACCTTGTTAACTTGTACCTGGCACAGAACAAAAACTCCCTCGAAAACCCTTTTTGGGAATAAAACGAGGAAGAAATCTGTCGGAGAGATTGAAAGATCTTCTCCCAGGATTTAACATTTCATCACGGATGTCATGTGTACAGTATAGATTGACACAGGACACATTAATTTAATAAACCTTATGGCATCATGGGGCTGGTCTTCTCTGATGATTCTAATGATAAGAGTCCTGATGCAGAGGATGCAACAGCATCCACCTAGGAATAGAATGCTGGCCATAATGGAGACTGTTATCACAGAAATAAACAATTGTTTGTATTTACTAAATCAAGAGTCCAATAAACCTGAGAAGCGGTTGTCCATGTCACTGTTCTCTGCTGGTTCTTCAGTAAGCGCTTTCAGCAGTGGTTCACCTCCATTTGTGTGTGAGGGTGTTTTCTCGATCATTTCAGGATCTCTTGTGCTAAATGGTTGTTGTTGTTGTTGTCCATGGGGCCGTGTTTGTAGAGGGGATCGGGAACTTGGAAGTGTCTGTACTGGAAATCGATGGCTCTGATGTGACCCAATGAGGCACATCAGAGCCATCCCAATGAGGCATATGAGCCAATGAGGCATAACCTCAGACCCAATGGGTCTGAGGTTATGCCTGTGCTGAGCTGTCGTTGTCCCCCATTAGTGTGAGGTGGTCTTGGAACTGTGCTGTACCTCAAAAGGGAGATCGGAAGGTTGCTTGGACTCTTTCTGAATCGGTCCTAGTCTTGCTTCTGGTCTCCTAGAATGATGTTGGTCTTGCTTCTGGTCCGGCTCTGCGGTGCTGGTTCTGATGCTTCCTCCTGGTCCT